CTAATTAATCAATTAGAGATAACAGAAACATCAGCTCTAGGTGCATCATGTGCTCAGAAAATCCAGGTGCATTTCTTAGCTAAAAGCTATTAACTGGGGGTCTGTGGATCTAGCTGAAGAGCATAATACCACAGCTGCAAAAATTTCAAAAGCGCTTCTTTCTACTCATCAGTCTTGTGTATGTTTTGCTCTGTTTCAGCCAAACATTATTAATCCAGAAACTATTTTTGTGGGGATCCTGGACCATTTGATGGTGTGGTGAATGTGAGGAATGATAGGTGGTCCTGGATGTCATGTGCGTATCACTGTCATGTGAGGCTGTGCTGTCTGAGCAATTTACCCAGTGACTGCGTGAACTGGAGACATTTGATTACTGTGCAACTCTGTAAATGAAGGGTTTGTAATGGAGGTATGGTTTCCAATTGTTTCTTGTTGAGAGCATGTCTCAGCAGTCCTTCAGCTTCAAGAAAGGCTCATCACATGTCCCGTGTCCTTACTACCTCTCCCAAGCTAGTCACAGGAGAATGGCGTGGGTACTGCAGTGGTCCTGGAGAGTGAAAATGAGGCCCAAAAGAATATGTTTGCTGCTTGGTGTGATCCAAAGACCATCTGGGGTTTTTGTTTTGTCCTAAATTCAAACTGTGCTGCGTGTAACTTAGCTCTTTCAACAGCAATGGGTCTTTTTTCAGTAGTGAATCTCAGAGCACCTTGCAAAGGTAGTATTGTGATTGCTCCTTTTTAAAGAGGAGGAGACTGAGGCCCGAGGAGGAAAAATGTGTCTGCTAGAGGCATTTAATTTGTATTTGTTGATAAATGGAAGTTCTAAGATGGGTGATAATCAGTTCAAGCTTTCACTGTAGATAATGAACCTGTGCTTGAATCATCTAGTGTCTAGACTGTTTGGACCTGTGTACAGGTCACAGTTTTCTCTAGATCATTTCAGGAGAGAAGGCTGAAACTCAACCTACTGTTCACTGTAGATCCCTATTCACATGTAATTGAGTTTGGACAGTATGGACATGCATGATCAGTGCTAATCTGTCAACGTGTTGTCCTGTAAAATCCTGAGGTTATATCACCAACAACCACAGAGAAGAAAATCAGTGGTGGGCTCTGTTCAAAAAGTGCTTATCATTGAGTTTTGTGAGAAAATATAAAATAAAGAGGATCTCCAAGCTCATCCTAGACTAAGAATGCGTGGGTATACCACACACGAGAGAGCAACACTGTGATGGGCTGTGACAGTGCAAAGAGCATACTCTGTGCTATGCGCAACACGCACTACGGTTATAACATGGTCCGTGTCCTGTGCGCCACCAAGTCTAACACGGCTGCTGTTTTCGGTTAAATTAGTGGGAGATGTTTGGGTGCTTGTACTGAAGAGAAAACAGAGTCCTCTTAACTCCTGTAATTGCAGAGGAAGGAAGGCTAGTAAAATATTTGTCTATGGTAGGGCAATGCCATCTAGTTACCAGCCTACCAGCTGTCAGGCTCCTGACTCACATGTAATGCAAACTTGACCATTTTATATCCTCCGCTTTACAGCAAAATGTCAAAGTCCTTCCAGGTCTTATGTGCTTTTTTTTAATATTGTCTTATTGCAGTGTTCCCTAAGAACACCTTTGAGGTAGTATTTTCAAGGTATCAGTGCTGCCTGGCCCTTGAGTGCACTCAGCGGTATGAAGGGACCCTCTTCAAAGCCATCCTGAGTGCAGGCTGAGGTCTGAGAGGTCTCCAGAACTTGAGTGTCAGAAACATTTGTGGTGAAAACCAAGGTCAGACCTACATGCCTTTGGGAACATGAGTTATGTTTATCACTGGGGTGGGGGAGGAGGGAAGGAATGGACAGGGAATGTTAGGTTTTTGATGGGTTTTTTTTTCTTCTTTTAGGTGGAAGGTTTCTCTTGTGTTGTTCAGTAATTGCTTCAGGTGGAAAGTAATTTCCCACCTTGCAGCAAAAGTATGCCTGGCAGGAGAGAAGTGTTATAAGAGCAGCACTTCATACAGTTGATTTTCAGCCAAAGTCAAGTCCCTCTGGGAGCAGTTACAACTGGAGAAATTTTTTAGCAGGCTTGAAGCTGCTCTGACTTTGGGGGCTGAGGAAACGTCTTGCTGTCTCTGCAGGAGCTGCATAAGTGATATCATCTCGTGTCACTTTTTCTTCCTCCTGGACACAGTCGAGGTGGGCCCTTGAAGCTCTCAGATCCAAGCTGGAGCAAGAAAAGGGCCATGCTGCCATAGTAAAGCAAAAGGCTTGCTATAAAGAACATGTGAATCTCTTAAATCAAGAAAGTGTTTGAATGCTTCTGGGACCCATTCTTCAGACCTAGAAGTCCCATTTATTTTTTATTTATAGTATCAATATTCTTTGATAATCTTCAGAACATTAATGGAGGAATTTCAAATTAATAAGTATCAAAAGGGACTAAATAAAAGTATTTTAGCAAAGCATATATTGATGGAAATCTGGCAATAGCATGCTTTTGAAAAAAAAAGTTTAGAAGATCTATGAACTACAGTGCCTTTTTCTGGAGGAATCATACTGGCTACAAAATATATACATGTCAGAATCTGTTGATCACTCAGATACAATCATTATGAATTAAAACATGTAATGGTGTATCACATACTGTATTGTTCATGGCCAGTCTTTGAGAAGGAGCCCAGTCATAGCCAGACAGGGTTAGTATTTTAGAATCTAAATAAATTACTATATTTTTCATATGTTCTGTAAAAAAACCTCTCAGCTGTTCTGTGAACAAGTTAGACTATTTAGGCTATCCTCTTTTTTTTTTTTTTTTAATCAGGGGCCCATATATTCACTGAACAGTTTAGCTTCTCATCTGTGTTTTTTTTCTTTTAATCTTGTGCCAGGTGTTTAAGAAGCAGGCAGCAGTGGTGTTTCGGTAACCTGCTTTCAGCATTATTTGCATACCTTTGTATTTTTCCATGGTGATCAATGCTCGACCATAGTGGAACTTCAGTCAGTAAATTTTATGTGCAACTGTTGAAGTAATTTTATTTTTAATGAGTCTGTTCTAGGGATTTTAATGTCCCTTTATAAATATTTATATTTTCAATATGTCTTCATTTAATTGAAAAGGTTCTTCGCATTATTTTCAGGCAACCGCAGGTAGTAGGTGTAATGACATATCAACACTGACCTTTTAGCTTCTGGATTTCTATTAGTTCATCCACATTTTGCTTGTCCATGTGTATTATATTTTAGTTTCTATACTGTTTTCCTCTATGGGCTGTTGGAACGAAGGGTGTTTTCCATACAAACACCTTAATAAACTGGTAAGGAAGAAAATATGCTGTTGCGTACTAGCAGCTGTCATGCAGACTATGTCTTGAGTATTTTAATCAGTCTGCATTGCTACTGGAAATCCAAACAGAAATAATATTTGATATTTGCATGGTCATTAGTCAGAGGAACGGTCTTAAGTCATATTCATCAATACAGCAACAGCTTCTGACATTCATGAAGTTGTTTTAAAATTAGTTCAGTTGTTTATTTGAAAACACTGCTCATCCTGTTGCCATCACTTCTGTTATCAATGTCATTGATGAATTTCTTCTACTACCAGTGTCATTTCGACTGGTGTAAAATTCACCAATGAATTATGGCTATGAAGAGATGAGAAGCAATCATTGCTGATTCCACGGAGAGCTTGCTGGTGCAGGCTCCTCCCCTACTGATCAGCTCTTAATGTGATTTTTACCATTGTGCCTTAATAACTCAAGCAGCTGGCTACCTGCTGATTCCTTGGGAAATAATTCAACAGGCTTCACTGAGATTTCTTTTTACCTGATGCACCATCTTCTTCTTTATTCTCCTTTTTTCAATTTCTTCTCATTATTTATAGGTAATCTGTCTGTTTAATATCTTTCTTTTTGCTTGTTCTCCATAGCTATTTTTAGCTGATCCAAGCATGTTTATTTCTTTTAGCTTCATGAATCTATTGCCTTAAGACCCTATTCAATTTCATTTTTGATTTCTGATATTTGTCCAGAACTTTCTGGCACACAAATACAAAGCATGTAGTACTGTATTCTGGTTTGTACAATGGCAGTGTATTATTTTTGTGCTCTATGATTTGCTATCTCTATGAATATTCCTCAAAATCACGTATAAAACTGAATGGATTGAATATCCATCCACAGCACTTCAGTGCGAAATAGATGGCGAACATGTCTACTTTTTGCCTGAGTGAAGCCAAAACAGTGGATCAGAAAGGACCTTGCAAGAAATTATGGCAGGGGACACTATAGATATTGAAATGTCCTGTGATAAAACCCTGATGCTGGCAGGTAACCTATCTCTGTCTACTGTAGAGAGGCTATTTAAGACACAGTATATTCTACTACAGGTGTTACTAGCTTACTTAAATGAGCATCAAGAAATAGTTTAGGTTTCCTCTCACAAAAATGTTCACCAAGGACTTCTAGAATTGATTAGTGTGCGCAAATCACTCATATTTCTAAGTAATCCTGCTGATTTAATGATATTAATTTTTGCTTTGTAGCATTTTTATTCCTTTGATTATATTGAAAAAAACCTGCAATTTTGCAAATAAGCTCCCTGTAGTTGGTGAATCTGCTTGCTAAAAGAGAGTCCTGTGTAACATGAGTTAATAACACTTCAGAAACTTACATTGATTAATTCAACTAAGTGTAAATCACACTAACAACTTTTTGCTGCAGCTCAAAGGTGATCAGGAAGGTGCTACAGCTGAAAGATACTACCTTTTAAGGTTTTGTTGAGTAGGTTTTTGACTTTTTAAAATTCTGATTGTTGTTACATACTTCCAGAATAGCCTTGTGGAAACAGGATATATTTTTTGTTCTCTGTCACTTCTGAAATAAAACTTGTTTTGATATTATTGGGTGTGGATCCATCTATGATCATATTAAAAATATTAATTAAACTGAGTGTAGTATTCTTGCAGCTCAGCCTTAGACTGAAACTTAATAACGTCTATGATTTTTTTTGCCAGCTTATACAAATCTTTGTCTGAAGGAATGAGTCTGAAGGACGAGCTTAACTGTACTTTTGGTACTTCTGAAGGTGGACCGCAAGGCAGGGAGGGTGTTGTGACCCTTACCTATCACCAGATTGAAGATCTGGCAGCTCAGCTGCAGCAAGCTCGGTCAGAGCAAAAGGACACAGAGCTGAAGCTCCAGAAAGCCCTGGAGGCTTCACGGGAGGCCAACGAAAAAGTTCAGAAGTAAGTCACCTGCCTTCTTTCAAGAAAAATTGCAGTTGAAAACCAAATTAAACGTTTCTTCTGGTATTTTGTCTATGATTGAAAGTGTGGTGGTACTCAGAAAAGTTCCGTTAAAATGATTCCTTCTTTTTTGGCAGTTCAGCTCATTACTGACTCAGTGTGAAGCCGATCATTTTAAGTTTTGTAGTATTACACAAGTCAGCGTGCCTGTCTTTACTGTTATGGAAACTGCTTTCTATATGTGTAGAGGCACAGAGAAAGTGTTTCCATCTTCTATGAATGGTTTTCACTGTCTTTTTACCCATGGCAATCCTATGGCAACAGGGTATTTGCCTTTATAATTGCATGGTAGAATATTAAGGTTCTCATTTTTGGTCTGTTATGCATCTGACAAGTTTCATGGCATGGTAAATGCTGATGGGGTTGTTTAGGGGTGGCTTCAAAATCTCACTGAAAACAACAGGAAATCTCTGAGTTGCTGAACAGGGATTGCATTCTCTTTCCCATCATAAGATTCCCTGTTAAAAGGTTACTGAACTTCAAAACCTGAAGTTCATCTCTACCGAAGTCCTTATTGTGGTGATTGTTATTACTATCACATAAGCCTTCCAAAGTCTGATTGCTGGGACATAGGCAAGCGTGTATACAGAGCCTCTTCACAGTCTGGCACTTCTCATCTCTGCATTATATCACCAGCTGCAAAATAGCCCGCTCGCACCCTTACACGGTGGTCAGTGCTGAACTGATGCAAATTTTCCTGTCAGTCCATATTTGTCTTCCACTTTAATGTCTGCAGCGTATTTCCAGAGTAGCCAGAAATTGGCTTGTAATACATTGCAAGGACCTAACAAGAGTTCTTCCTGTTTAAAAAAAACCACATGCTGAGTTCTGCTATTAAAAAAATAAAGAAATTGTATTTTTATGGTTTTAATTTATTTGTAACTACATAAAATATAGTTAAGATATATATATATGAAAATACGTATTTTCAGTTGTCTCTTTAAAATCTCCAGTGGTTGTTTGAGAATCATTCCAATCTTTATTCTGAACACTTAGATATATTTGAAACTTCATCAGGTGCATGCCTGATAAAAATAAACCCATGAAAAATAATTACAGCATGTTAAAGAGAATATTGCCTAAACCTTTCTGTACATTGTTTAAAGTTGCTATTTCATTTCATTTTATTTATAAGCATTTACTAACCATAGCTATTTAAGTGCCAATTGTGTTTTGGTTTTGGTTTTGGTTTTGGTTTTTTTTAGTGAAACAGTCTTGTTTAATCCCACGTAACCAGGGTGGCTAGAGTAGAAGTGCAGCCACAACCTGAATTAAAGTGGTGGTGATGTACTGCTGCAGTGAAAAGAATTTAGGCAATTTAACATGCTCAGCTACTTGGGAAAATTTTGGTCAGGTTAGTTTTCATTATCGCTAAGATCAGACCACTGAGCCTATAGGAAAATTAAACAATTGGGTGAAGTCTTTTGATGACAATAGCATGCCCTTTTTACCAAGAAACTGTGGAAATGCTCTGTGCGTCTTCCCAGCACCCGGAGTCATCCACCCCCATCTTATAATTCAACCTGCAAACAGATTAAGCAGCTGAGTTTGTGGAAAGTGTGTTTACTTTGAGCTAAGAACCCTTGTGTGACACTATAGAGATTCCTCTGACACCTCTGGGAGAGCTACACAGACAGTTCGTACTCATCAGCAGGGAAACCGGGCTGAGAATTCCCAATTTCTTTGTAACCTCAACCGCTTCATACAAATCAGTGTTTGGCAATTAGGCAGGAACTCATTTGTTAGCTTAGCTTTTTATTTCGGAGATGTAGGATATTCTACATTTCAAAAAGGAACTGACCATTTATAAACCTGTCAACGGAAAGGCTTCTTGGTATTAATTACAGTAGTATTAATTATTAGCACTGTCCTAAGAGGATGCTTATTGTAATTTAAAATGTGACACTATGATTCATAGCCTAAATAGGTTTTTAAAACATCTGTTTTCCTGACTTCTTTTAAATGCTCAAGTAAAATTGAATTCTGTCATACGAGGTATTTTTAGCAGCTATATAAAGTAGTTTCTCAGTATTATTCAGTAAAGTACCCGAATAATGTAGCAACAGTTAAAAATCAGAAGAGAAAAATAATTATGAGCTTCACTAAGAAAGAATATAATTAGAACAGTTAAAATAATGTTGAAAAAGGGGTGTGCTTTGTATCTTTGTACCTCCTAATTTACTGGTGTTCACTATGCCTTTGCTAATCTGTTCTTTGACAACACTAAAGAATTTTTTAATATTCTTAAAAACTTCAGTGTTTGCATTCAGCATCATATACAGAGCTTGAAATAGAGATGTAATTTCTGCACGGCATTGCCATCGTGTCAGACATTTGTGTACCCACCTGCAATTGTTGCTTTCTAAACGTGAGATCTAAGTCAGAATAGTGGTCCTGTGTTTTCCGTCAGGACACAAAGCATCTAAAAAATTTCTGGATCCTATCCCACATGAAACAGCAGCTGTGAACCAGAAGGGGGATATATTGGAATCTGCTTATAGAGAACGTGGATATAGTAAAATTCTGTTTATACTGAAGTAGGGTGAAATCTCACACGGGCTCACTGCCGTGTGAGATACAAATTGCGACTGTGTGCTTTTGCCTGTGATGATGACTCGGATTCACCATCCTAGCAGGGGTGGTGGTGTGACACAGAAAATGTTGATGCTCAGAAAGTGACCACACAGTTTTAGCAGCATTTGCTTGACTCTATTTTGATTTTGAAACATTAAAAAGATACACATTAGACTTTTAAGAGACCGCTATTATGGTTTATAAAGCAAATACTCATTTTAACGGAGTGGTGTGTGTAAATAAATACATGTATGTGCACACATAACACAGTACATATTTGTTCAATAGGAAATTACGATGACCTGCACAATACTTAATGTTTTTAACCTATACTCTGTAGAATGGCTATGACCATAATTTTCTATATTTCATTAATGTTTCTAATTCATGGTTACAAACAAAGAATTAGGACAGTAGCACAGAATTCACCAGGATTGTTGGCTCAGCGCCACAGGCCCCCAGCAAGTTTGTCCTGCCGGAGAAGCCAGGAGCCAGCTGGTGCGGCCCCAGCAGGGAAATGGGGCTGACCTGGAGAAGGTGGCTGGAAAAGCCTGTGAATTAATTAATGCCTCTGCCAGCAGAGGAAGCAAGACATTTTAAAACTGTCCTTCCTGCTGGAACCTCTGGGATTGAGGAGTGGCTACTGATGTCAGTGAGATCAGACAAGGTTATAATGTAATACCAAATCAATATTAGCCAATTATCAGTAAAGGTTGAGGCCACTTTTGATGTGGTGGGGTTTTTTTCCCAGTAAATGTTCTATTTTTCTGCAAAAGCTTTGCAACTGGAGTGAATTTTAATGCCATTTTTCTATTGAGGGCTTCTACTTCTTCTTACAGTTTAATGATTCTAGCTCGGTAAAGAGTAGCTCTCTGCGTGTGGGCACAGTCACACTTGCACACTCACATAGCTGTGTAAGGTGGCAGTGGAGGGCACGCGCGTAGAATTTCTATGTAGTCCTCTAAAAGTAAACACAAATCCACCAAGTAATGGTGCAATGCTAAAATATACTGGTATGAAAATAAGTATAAATGGTGAGAAATACGCTGCTTATGCACTTTGTCAAGGTAGTTCTTACTATGAACAAAGCAAGTGTATGTGATGTAAATCAGAAATTCTGAACATCATTTGTCCTTAACTGTTTATTAAAGACACCTTTTCTTTTTATTTTGCTTTTTATTTTTTTTCTTTTAAGGAGGATGTCAGGAGAGTTACAAATTTGGATAAAATACTTGAGTGGATTGAATACAAAAGAAAATTAAGCAATCTTCTTAATAAGCAGATAGTTTTATCAAAGGAAATTACTATCTCTCATAAAAGAAATACTACCCTTAAAAACATTTGCTTTACTTCTTAATGTGTGATTTTTTGACCACCTAACTTTCATTGTTACTGGAACACACCCTTTTTTTGAGTAGTCCTGGATTTCTCTCCAGCATTTCTGAACTCTCTTTCTCTGCTTTCGTAGTTGCTCGCTTAGTTTTGTTCTTTAGCTGATGCTGATAAATAAGTTGATCGATGACACAACAAAAACAAACAGTCCTTACCAGCATTCAACACAGTTGAAAAGAATACAAAAATGGAAAGAAATAAGGAGCAAGCATTTATTAAATGGTTAGAGTCCCCCTCTTCTGCAAGTAAAACTAATCTGCCTTCCGAGTGCGGGAGCTGTGTGCGCTTCACATCAACGTCCAAGATGTTCTGCAGTGCTGGCTGGAGGGTCTAATCTTTCCCAGAATTATCCAAGCAGTGCAGTTGAAGAACAAGAATGAATATTTGAATAATCACACCACAATGTGAGGTGACCCTCCGACAGGGGACTGACCAGATACACATATGGATTTTGGGAAGACGCTCTGATGCTCTTTTTTAACACAGCTGTGAGAAGAATGTGGCTAAGACCCAGTAGTCTTTCTGGAGTATAGCTGGCAAAGGAAACCATGAGGAGAAGAGAATTTAACGCATGGGTGTAAGAGAGTCCGCTTCATTGATGCGATCTGAGGGGAATGTCTAATGACTGGAAGAATCAAACTTGGCAATGAAAACACAAAGCTCTTTTCATCAATTCAAACTCAGACTCTAAAGCTGCAGATGGTTACCTCCAGCCTTGCCTATTCAGTGCGGGGTTGTATAAAATGGCACTTTGGTGAATACTAATAGATCAAAACAAAGATTTAATAACGTAAAGATGTGGTGTTCATTTTGAAATGAGGATACAGGTCAGTGTCTCAGAAAAGAGTGAAATAAGTATCTTTATGTATGGGTCTAAAGTCTCTGGAGATTTTTAACTGCAAACATGATATCTTTAGTGTGCAGATTGTATTCCGTACAGCACAGCTATGCAGGGAAAAGGCTAAAAGCAAGAT